CGAAACACCCCGGGGCCCCCCCCCCCCCCCCCCCCCCACATCGCAACCATGGCCCTGTTTAGCCAACCATTGTTTTGAGGTGCTTGGTAACCACGGCTTTGTGAAAGTATTATGCTCTGTGTGAGCGTGGAGAGCTGAGCTAGAAGAAAAGCAGATGTCAGAGATGTTGTGTTGGAGCCTGCCGAGCTGGGAGAGGTTCTCCATTGGACTCTCAGGACAGCTGGGCTCCGCTGCCAGAGGAGGACACGGGATTGTTCTGCTTTCCTTTGGCTCGCTCTCGGTTCCAGTGCTCCACACTTCATCACTCTAAATGAGCCATTTATGTTTTATTTCTTATTCCAGTTAAAATGTGGCTTCTGTGGGTTCCATAACTCCAACTTTTTTCCATTATAGAATTGTTTACATTACAGTGGAAGAATTATGCTCAATTGGCATAGTCTTCAGGTGGCTCGTTGGCCGTTTACAGCTGCTTTGTGAAATGCCTTTTTTTTTTTTCTTTTCCACTGGCTACTTCTTGTAAAATTTTTCCTTTTGCAGATGTTTGTTGAGACTGAGAGAGCTGTCTTAACAGGAGGCAATGCTTAGACCATTAAGCCATCTCAAGGATGGCAGCTCTGTTGGGAGAAGCTGCTCGTGGCAAGAAGCTCCTGCAGGAGCTCCTCCCGTCAGGCATTTTGTCATCGCTTGCTCTCCTGAGATTGTACATTCTTTCCTACACACCTTGTGTGCAGTTTGGGAAGAAATGCTGGTGATTCCATCACTGAAACCGTGCAAGGGCTTGGGGGCCTCACTATAGTAGGGAGTCAATTTCTCTCTTACTATTACAAAACTGAATCTAACAGTCTCCCATCACAGCTGGCTGTAGTTACACTGTAGTGTGGCATGACTTCCAAATTTTGTGGAACTGAAAATGGTACTTCTTGATTCACACACCGTATCTCACCGCCTCGGCAGCCACCGTACCCTTACTCTCAGGGGAACATAGGCAATGGTCATTTACAACTCAACTACGTGGGGATTTCCTCCATGCAAATTTGCTCTTCAAGAGAATTTTATTGCAAATTTCTGCAGGTGAAAGCCATTAATTTAAGGAAGATGCCTTGAGACTGTTGTTTTGGTTTTTTTTGTCCCAAGGTAGCTGTCAGTCTGGGGAGGGAAATAGGGGATGGGATTAAATTCCCTGAGTTTCAGAGTACGGTGGAGAAATAGGTTCCCAGATTTGTCATAAACATACTTCACAATTTTAGAAAAGTTTCAACTCCCTTTTTGCATTTGTCCTTGATGAGTAAAATAGAATATGTTATTTATTTAGATATGAAGCTGCTGGGGATAGGGATGATCTTGCTACCAGAACTAAAAAGGAGCTCATTGCCATTGCGGCCTATAGAAATGTCAGTAGTATATATTATTAGTCATTGGTTTAACCATCCAGTCTTTATTCTCCCTTCCATATCAAAATCACTCCTGTGTATCCATTTCTGGATCTTCTCTTTTTCAATTTTACTTCAATTAACCTGTTTTAAGATATTTTTTTTAGGGAGACTGTGCCTCATTTATCATCTCAACAGGCTGCATCTGTGTACTCATACCATCCAAAGCATGCCAAAGCACTTCGAGTCAGTCTCCTGTAAAGTAACAAGGAATAAATAAAAGGATTTGATTGGTATCAGAGCAGCTTGTCTTTTACCGATTCCATGCCAGAAGAATGGCTTTATTTTGAATTGTTTACATAAGACAACAGTAGTCACAGCTGTCATACAGAAAAAATATAGCTGCTTGAGGGTTTTTTCGACATTCTTATTTCACTGCCATTAAAAAAATGACAGTATCAATGTAATTGTTGAAGTCCAATTGTAATTCTGGACCTGAAATACTAATGTGGATGAACCCAACTCAAATCTTCTTGTCAGCAAAAAGCACTGGAGCTTCACCTTTTGTGGGAGACCTGCTGTGGAATTTCAGCCTTTAATGTGCAAATGAAGCCTGCAGGGTCCTGTGAATGAATCTCTGCTCCTGCATTTCAAAGTGGGCTGGGGAAGCCTTGTGCAGGAGAATGGCAGTGCTGGGGTCTATCACACTTTCCCTCCTTATTCTGTAATAGATTTAGCTTTGGTTTGGGTGGGGGTATCAGGCTCCCTTATTGCTCTAATAAAACATGACTCATTTAAAGAAAAACACGTAGAAGAAAATTGTTGGTAATATGTTCCCCGACACGATGTCAAAACCCATCAAGTAATTAATAGCAGAAGTTAGTGTTTGTGTAATTTGTTCTGCATATAAAGAAAACTTCAATATTTCTTTAAATCTGTGATTTTATGAAAAGACCTTAGTTTAACTCAGTACTTTTTTTATTTTTCTTCTTCGCCAGGCCTTTTGCTAAGTGGTGTCTTTTTTTGCTACAACTTCTAGCGTTCAGGCCATAGACAATTTGAATTGCTTCTCACTTCTTTTGTATTAAAATAATAGCAATTCTTTCAGGGTTTTCTAAGTATGTAGCAGTTCAACTCTTGAATAGATTTTTATGCTAGTTTTATTTGGAGATCTATCCAAAAAAGCCTTTTAATATAAGATGGAGACTAGAAGTAATTCAATTATATGGCATTTAAATAACGTTTAAGTTTTGAATTGTATTTTGAACCATTTTTAGCAAACAGCAGTAAGGTCACTTTCTTGTATACACAGAAAAACTGACACAAATTAAGCAAGATTTTTGGAGAAAGATCCAAAAGTCAAGAAGGTCTGCTGTAAGATGCCCTAAAGTCACAGTCATTAAAAAAAAAAAAAAAATTAGAATTTAAATGCCTCTATCCTTTAAAAGCAGCAGTAGGGAAAGCACCTGCTCTAATAAAGCTGTAGGCCATAAATACCTTAAGGAGAACATTTTAAAGTTTTGAAAAATTTCCTGGTTTATAAGAAGTCAGGATTCTTATTTCTTCTTGGCAACCTCGTAGTACTGTACAATGGCGTGGCAAGAGCTGAAAGGCTCCTTCATTAACATTGCACTTCAGATGCTCTTAAAAACCCCAAAACAACAATGTTTTACACGTATAACATTATTAATGGCCAAAGTAAGAAATAGTCCTTCATTAACATTGCACTTCAGATGCTCTAAAAAACCCCAAAACAACAAACAATGTTTTACATGTATAACATCATTAATGGCCAAAGTAAGAAACAGTTAAGTTTTAGCCTGAGCTCCTTGCATCAGGGACAAACATGAGTTTTTCATTTTGACTTTTATTATAACTAACATAAAATGCATCTGAAATTACTTGTGTTTTTTCAGGGTCCACACATAGCATCAGTTACTCTCGCTGCATATGAATGTAACTCAGTTAATTTTCGTGAGCCTCCGTACCCGGATCAAATTATCTGCCCTGACGAGGGGACGACTGAAGGATCCATCTCTATATGGGCCATCATCTCAAAAGTCAGGCTGGAGGCCTGCATGTGGGTAAGGCTTGCTTTATAAAACTTAAGCAATTTTAATTTATGCGTTTAATTTCTGTGTCTAGCCATACGTGAAAATTCCTGAAATTAGCAAAATAATGATGGCCTACACTGCCAACAGTAACGTGTGTATCTGCAATGTGAATAGATACTTTCCTCATCAGCCTTCTAGCCCTGGATAATTTTAATATCCTTTAAAGAGAAGTAATAGGATATTACTGGGCTGTCTTTCATCAGCTACTGTTGACTGGTGTTCTAAATGCTAGCAGAAAATGTTTGTGTACTTCAAAGCTGTTGATGTAAAAGGTAAATTTCAGAAGGGGTGTCTGCATCCCAAATGATCTTGCACTGATCAATCGATTGGATTAAGTAAGAAAGTTACATTGCACCCTTTTGCATATTTTATTTCCATTTCTCTGCCTGTTTCCATCATGGCAAACTGTACACTTAAAGCTAACCTGCTTTTCCTGTTTTAAGTGAATCAGGGTCTTAGGAAACGCTGTCATTGGAACTTCCTTTCCGTTTTCCTCTTTTTTTTTTTCTTTTTTTTTTTTTTTTCCTCTGGAGCTTTTTATAGAAGTTTGGGTTTTTGGAAGATTTTGGTCAGTTAAGATGTTTTTTTCATTATGTGTAGATTTTGAATTGCAGTTTACACAGATGCATCTGCTGTGAACTGCCTGCCATATTAACTTTATTTTACTACTGACTTCCTGTTCTAGCCAATGATTTAATTATTAAATTCTTGGTTGTCCAATTCAAATGGAGAGAGAGGAAATTCTGAAAATACATGGTATCTGTTGCCTGCCCTTGCATTCCTTCTAATGATATGAAAAGATATATTAAGGCGACTTTGATCACTACAACTTAAAATTATCAGCAGCTGCGTTACTCAGAGAAATTCCAGTTGGGTTGTACGCATTACAGACGTAATGTGCAGCAGTACCAGAGTCAAAACACTAACAGAGAAAGTGGACTTAAAACCCTCTCAAGAAGCAAAGTACATCTTAAATTTCACTCTTTCCAATGAGGGGGCAGAATTGCCCGAATACTTGATAAATAGCTAAACATACAAGTGCTTAATTAGACTGTAAATATAAGATTTCTTTTTATTTTCGCCCTCATCCCCCTCTGCTTAAGTTTGTTTAATGGAGACTGGAGTAATAAAAATGGCATTTACAATTACGTTTCTAGGGTTGCAAAATAAAAATGTAGCTCAGGGTAAACACGCATTGCTTAATCTTCAGCATGTAAAATAACTGAACTATGATGAGAATTAAGTAGTTTAGAAATGAGTTAATGGGGTTGCAGGCACTGAAAGCTTGTGTCCTTGTGAGCAGCCACCAGGGAGAACAAATGGTACCTCCAGTCTCTCGTTTGAGCTGCGTTTCTTGGTTAAGGCTGGGGAAAAAAGACAAGAGAAAAAGACAGAACCAGAACATTTGTATCCCACTCTTTTTCCTCCCTTTTTCTTTCTTCTCGCTTTCAAATCCACTGTCAGCTACCTTTTCACTGAACTCTGTCTCCACTAGATTTCCCCTTGGGAGCATCCTCTGTCTACCAGTGGTGTCTAGTGCTATGTTATGCTTTCTTGGAATGTTTCATGAGTACATAAACATTGCTTGCTAATTTCCTGTAAGCCAAATCAAGTTGGCAATTGCTGCTGCTTCTTCCAGTATGTTTCTTTTGTCCTAATTCCAGTTCACTTTTTATGGAAGCTGTTGAAGAAACTTACTTTTGAATCTGTCACTCTTAGACCAAATGTCAATTTAACAGGGAAGTAACAGTGACTTCCAGAATGTGAAAAGGCTGATTTTTGCAAATCAAAGTCTTAATGAAAAAAAAATAATTGAATGGAATAATTTTCTGCTTTTAAACTGAAATCAGAAATATTGAGTTTAATTCCTAATCTGGGTATGATTACAAAATCTTCCTTTTCTTTTTTTTTTGTTTAAATGGAATCAGCAACTTCTAATTAGATCTAAAATCTGAATTTATACTAAATCCTGAATAAATGCAAAAGAAAAGGAATTACTGGGTGTATACTGATGTGCTCCCAATGCAGCACGTGGAGCCCTGTGAAGAATAGGTGTAACAGCACCAACAGCCTGTTTCCTTTAGACTTGTAAAGTGAAATTATGTTGAACGGCTCCAAAGTGAAATCTGGCCAATCTCTCCTTGATTATTCGGAGGGAGACAGGAGGGGTGGCAGCAATAGAAATTTTCATGTGAAATGTTGAAAGCAGGACGGTCCCAGCGGGGACTTTGCAGACCTCTGACTATAAAGCTTCCCAGACTAAGTATCCTGCAAGGTTTGAATGCGGGAATTTATCTGCACGAGGGATTTGATTCAGATCACAAAAACATCAGCGGCTGTTCCAGCCGACTTAAACCAGGTACTGTTTTTTCCAGAGATTAAAATCATTACTAGTCCCCTGCATGTCAGCGATAGCCATTTTTGCTGATAATGAGCGTTACGAGGATTAAATATCACTGTATCTAAGGAATTATTAGGTGAAATGAAAATGATGCTTTTTTTTTTTTTTTTTTTTCCCAATCACTATAAAAGTTGGCTCCACCAGTCCTGGCCTGCAGAAGGACTCTCGGAAACAATCTACTAGGTGTATGCCAGTTTTCACAGCCTTCCATCCCACAGGGACAAGGAATTCAATAGTGCCCTACATTTTTAATGTGTTGCAGCCTTTTTTTTTTGTTTTTTTACAAGAAATAAGGGGAAAGAATAAAAATGTTTAATTGCTCGGGATTAGAAGAACAGGCGGCCTGTGTCCTGACCAGGATAAAATCTGTTTAAAGGACTCTTTCTAGTGGAGTAATTTCCCAGTTTCCTTTTCTGAATGTATTTGTGTAAAAGAATTTTGATTAGCATTTGCTTTTCCAATTTGTTGTTAGTCCAAGGAATCTCCATGTAGAACTGGCATTCAAAGTTAAATGGTGAAAATGGACAGATAATGTTACAAAAAGCAGTTAAATAGTTACTGGCTTGAATCACTTAATCATTACTTTTCTTTTTTTTTTTTTTTTTTATTGGCGTGATGGAAACATAGAAACAGAAAAAGAGTTAAAAAGTTTCTGGCTTGAAATACTTTATTATTTCTTTTTTTTTTTTTTTTTTTTTTTAATGCACTTAAGGAACCTATCTCCAGCAAACATGAAATCATATGATTTTTATTGCACTTCTGAAAATGTTTTGTAATAATGAGCATGTGACTTAGCCAATTTAAAGAAAGTTCATGTCCAGTCCATGCATGCGAACCTCTTCCTCGGTTAACAGAGGGAAGCCAAAGCAAATTGGCAGAGCCTGGAGGAGCAATGTGACTTTTTGTTCTTGCATCACCCTGAGAACATAACCTCAAGTTAATTTTTCTGAAACGTTGTTGCTACTGTTTTCAGGCCTTATCTTCCCTCCCGCCAGAAATAGGCGGTTTAATGAAGTTCAGCTTGTTGCACTCCTTTAAATTTTTCTTTTGTGGAAAACAAGGGCATAAACATATGAGGCTGTGCAATTTATGGTGCTTAAACTGAGAATTTAACAGTTTGGGTAACTGCAGAGAGCGGCGGGATTTAAAACCACAACCTGTTGATTTGGAATATCCACAGCAGCTGGAATTCTCCCTCGCTTGCAGCTGCATATAGAGCAGGAACAAAGGAAATTGAAAAGCTTTCACGTTGCTTCAAAGGAATAGAAAAGCATTTGTTAGTCACTGCTGACCTTAAGAGAGAAAAGCCATCTGTGTGTAGCTCAGTTCTAGCACTTTTCCAGTGTGGTGCCCAACTATTGTGCTATTAGCTGTCCTATATTTAAACCATTCTGAGTTTAGTCCGAGTTCCTGTTTCATTAGCCTCTGTTTATCCCCGTGTTCAATCCTAGCTGTCTCTCTTTGCTTTTCTTTTTTTTCCTTTGGGTTAAGCTAAAGTTGCATTTACCCACAAGATCGAAATGAGTCATTTGATGTCCTGAGAAAACAAATATAATTTTCCTGTGGTGAGAAGGGAACCATGCTTTCATCCCGAGTTCTCTTGGCTTTTGTTCATTCCATCTTAAGGAGAGAGAAAGCTTGAGATCGGGCTTTGCTTAACCTTATTTTTCTTGCTCTTTGCTGTAGTAAAACTCCAGCCTGTTTTCTAATAAACACTTAACTTGCACGAAGTCTCATGACTCGAAGAAGTCAACTACGTGACGGGACCCGGGAGGAGTTCCCAAATTCTTTTGAAGGCTGCCCAGGAGCAAAGGCTGTCTGTCACATGCTGGCCAATGTGTCTGGCATGGTGTGGTGGGGTGAGATGGCAGCTCTGTGCTGAGTCAGGGGTGGTTTGGGAGAGCAGGACCCCCCGCCTGGCCGCCTCCCCAGCAGCTGGCCACCGGCTGCTGAGCTCCACCAGAGCTGGGCAACGTGCCCCAGAGATGCACGGATCGTGTCAGTTTGACCTCGTGGACCACAGCTTGGGAGCCACCAAGTTATGCAGCGCGATAGTCGGTGCTGGGAGAAGCTGAACTTTGCCAAAGGGGGAAAGGGAAAGGAACATCAGTGTCTTCTAGCAGGAGAAATTTGACCTGGTGGATGAAAACAGACTTCTCGAGGCAGCTGGTCTCATCAGTTCTAATCATTTTGAAACGTCCACAGGCCTGTGCGTATCACATGTTTCCTATTTAAGAATAAACACGAAAATAAATCAGAGTTATTCTTTTCCCAGGGCGCTGGCACAGCCATTGGAGAGCTGCCTCCATATTTCATGGCGAGGGCAGCCCGACTCTCTGGTGCTGAACCTGATGATGAAGAGTACCAGGAATTTGAGGAGATGCTGGAACATGCACAGACTGCACAAGTAAGAACAGTGCAAAACAACAGAATTAATAAAATATAGAGCAATTTTGATGGAGTAAATAACCCGTACTGATGAAATGGGAATGGGCCAAAAATCAGTTGGTGTGAGTTCACAAGGGACTTCCCAGGGGTGGAAAAAGATCCTTCACTGGGTAGAGATAGCTCTGGTGATGGGAGGAGAGGAATGCAGCTTGTTGAAGCACATACAATAGTGCAGCTGAAGTATTTGCTACAAATACTGCATTTATTTAGGCTTCCAAGAAGAGCACAATAAAGGTCAGGAGAAAGGGGGCTCACAAACCAGTGACAGAGGAGGTGCTATTCCATAATCATGGTTGTTAGAGCTGCAGTTAAAGCCTCCCTGGGCCGGGAGATGATTATCAGGCAGCTCATCCCCTTCAGATGACATTTGCCTGCACCCGGGGGCCTGTGCATGACCCATTCATCAGCCTGAGGAAACATATTTTTCCTCATGTGAAAATGCAACCAAACTGCTCTGAATCCCTTTTTGTTGCTCTTGTCATTTATTTTCTTGATGGATTAAATAGTGCTTGTGTTACAACATAGTTTGCAGCCGATGCTGTACATCAGTCAGATATTACAGTAGATAATTTTTCATTCAGGTCAGGAGTTTGCATCCTGTTCACGAGTTATTGATAGTGTTTTAGGAAAAAAAAAACTGAACATTTTTTTTCCTCAAACTACTTGCCACTGAATTTCTCTTCTGTATTTTTCCTTCTTACCCTGTTTTGTCTGCCACTAAGTTGAAATGGGACATGAAACTGCTATTAAAAAACCAGCAGATGCTATTTACCATGCACCATGTTCTGCCAGGGTATTTACTTCATATAAATATATATTTTTACTCCTGCTCTTCAAAAATGAATGAAGCTTTTCCATGAAAGAAAGTGGTTTGTCTGGAAATACTGAGTGCAATCTAGTAATTCTAACGGTAAACCCTGTGTTTCCTGAGAGCCTTCCCCTGCTAGAAAGTTCCAAAGGGTTTTCTGCTATTGTAAATAGTTAATTCTTCTATTTCTCTAAAGATAGTGTGTATGTGAGGGGGGGAAATTCGCTTTGTTCTTTACCATCAGTGTTTGCTTTGCTAACTGTATAACTTTTCCCTAACTGTATAAAAATCAAGTTGGGGTTAAAAAAAAAACCAACAAAACAACAAAAAACCCAAACCCCAAACGAAACCAGTCGAATAGATGCCTGGAGATCTGAAATGCTATCTGTGTTTACTGAAACTCTCCCAGCAAATTATATGTGCATTGGGTTGTGGGAGCAGCCAGGGTTCCTTTCCAGAAAGCACAGTAAGATTCTTGGGAAGAAGATTTTTTGCTAGAGAGCGTCTTGTCAGGACAGGCCAAACTATTATAGCTGAGCTGTATTGACTGCCCTTCCTAAACGAACGGCGTTGTGTAGTTAATTAAGAAAAATGATGCTGTTATTTACTAGTGCTTTTGATTTTATTTTCTTGGCAATTGGATTTGGATTGAAGCGTGTTGTTTTGTGGATGGATGGCCAGGAAAAAAGGAAAAAAAATCATTTTAAACTCCACTTGTGGTTTGGTTTCTGCAAAACTCTTTTAACATGAGGCTTTGACAATCTGATTAAATTGCATTGCACTCATAAAACTGACAGTTCAGTTTTTTCCATTTGCTAATGTGACTTCCTTTTTGCTTTTGGCTTCAGTCGTGTTTTTGCTAGATGTCTGTGGGAGACAGGCCTGCCTTTTCCTATGACCTTGAGTAAATCCCAATCTTCAGTATGGCTTATCGCTATTTGTTCTCTAATTTGCTATTCATGAGCAGTTACCATGCCTATTTTTAAATTGCTCAATAACAATTTTTATTACCTACATCAGCTTCTCCCACTCGCCCAAGCCTTAAGAGAACGCGGGGGATGTGACAAGCGTCTTATGCCACGGGGACTACTACAAATGCTTGATGTCAACTGACAGGAGCCTTCTTTTAGTGGAAAGGTCTCGCTTCACCCTGCCTTTTTGAAAGGCATGAAACTGGGTGTGTTAGGTTTGGAAGAACAGCTTCCCCCTCTACTATTGCTCAGCTGCTCTGTGCCTACGAGGCAAAGCCAAGCGGCTTGACGTTTGTGCCTGCGTGTGTGTTGTTTAGAAAGCTGGTGGCTGCTATTTCTCAAAAACAATGGTGATTTTGAGAACCAGATGAGGCTCTTCTATGGTGAGAACAGACCATGAATCCAGCCTGAAGGGCCTGTGAGGGGGGAAATGTTGCTCGCTAGCTTGGCACTTCAAAAAAACAACCAAAAAAAAGGAACCTAAAAGGATTAAACAGCGTAAAGGTTTAGTGCCCTGTTCAAAGTTACACAGAGTAAAACACTATTTACTTTCAAGAGTCTATTGATGGGGTTTCTGTCATAAATCTCAGATCTAAGTGACCTGTCTCCTTGAGCTGGGTTTTGGGAAGACTCGTTAGCCTGGGGACGATGTGTAAGGGCTGCCTTGTACTTTCCATTAGCGGATTTGGGAAAAAGCCCCTTGTTTTAAGTGAGCACTCGCTCCTCTCGGCGCGTCCCCGCGCACACGCCGGCGGGCTGGTCCCCGTTACACAAAGGCAGCCTCAGAGCTGCTCTTGTCCAAATGGAGCAGCTTTGCCCTGGAGAAGGAGTGTGGTTTACGAGCAGGGCTCTCATTTATTTTATTTTTTTATTTTTTTTTTGTTCTCAGAGCTCCACACAATGCAGAGCCCAGCATGCTATAGGAACAGAGCGACCCGCTCCGATTTGTTAACACTTAAGGCGGTATTTAAAAATCGCAAATATTTGAAATCTCAGTTGCTGTTTTAACTCTTTTTTTCCAGTCGAATACCAGAGCAAAGGAGTTTTTGATCAGAGCTCCCCTTTTTAGCCACGGGGAGTATCTCCAGTGCAGCCGTTCAAACCAACCTCTCAATTAGGGGAAGTGAATCTATTACTTAGTGCTGGGGCAGCACATTGCTCCCGCTGTATTATTACCATACTTTTGTACAGTTTCATGCCTACACACACACATGTTGCAGGGACTCTCTTTCGCTGGTTTAATAGTTGCTGATTGTTAAGGATTCTCATCTTTTCTCTATTGTGCTGAAACTCTTAAAGCTGAGGGAGGTTTCTGGTGAAAATGAAGCTTTTAATGCCAGCTTCCCTCAAGGTACTTAGCAATAATGCGTGGGCCCTTGCTGTATCATGGTACTCTTTGCTAAGAGGAGAAAGTACTGATATCTTTGCTGTATATCTAATCCTTAATGACTGTGAGTGTTTGGATTCATTAAGTAGCATATTTTTAAGGACTAATGATTTACACGTCGGGCTTTGCTTCTGTGCAGCGCTGCTGCAGCCAAATTTCCATGTAAAAATATTTTCTAGTTGCCTGTGTTACTATCAGCCACTGCTGTTTGTTTACTTTCCAAACCGTGTCCTGCCTCCGAAAAAATACAAGCTCAAAAAAAAGGGGTTAAATCCATAGAAATGCTGAGATGCAGCAGGACTGGTTTGTAAATGATTGAGTGCCATCTGCTCAGTGAATGTCAGTTGTTGCTGGGACCTGTTTTTGACTCCACTGAACCTTTACTGGTTGTGGTTTGTCTGGCCATCACATGACTTCTCTGAAAATTCCCCCTCCCCTCCATTTCCAGTAAACTGTTTGAACAGGAGTGACTCAGACTGAAACCAGCTTCCCTGTAACCACAGGGCTTGTTAAAGAATTTGTCAACGTGGACTCAAGAGGGTTTGTATTAAACTAAGCTGCAACTGCTGGGGTTCGCGTTGCGTCAGGAGTTCCACCCAACGACTTCCTGCTTGGGGAGCTGGCTTCTTGTCTGCAAGGAGTTAAACTGATGAACTCTGGTGATAGAGACAGCAAGATGCAGGTTAAACCCATCTTTCCAGCCTTTCCCAGGGCTCCGGTGCCTTGAGCTGGGTTGCTTTTCCCCATCTCCATGTGGGGTTCCTCTTTGCAGAAGCAGAGCAAAGTGCTCTACCACACCCAGCCATGGTTACTGGGAGAACCCAGCACTGTGTTCTGACACGACACCCTGACTTCACTCAAATGGAATGATTGGGTTCGACTAATAAGCTAAATGTTACTTAATTAGCAGCGTAAAAGAAGATGGCCAAATTAAAAATGGATCGCTCCCGTGATTAAACTAGAATCAGATTCAGCTAGTATCTGATAAGTCCCTGCTTGAAAAGGATTCCCTGGCTGCTGGCTTGCTTAATGAAAAGGTTTTATGGGTATTTGGTACGAGAAAAAAGAAGTTAAAGCAGACCACAAGCAGATTTTTATAAAGCAGTTGTTATAAAAATGGAAGTGGTAGAGTCACATACAATAACTGGAAAACCTTGACTTCTTTTTTTTTTTTTTTTTTTTTTTTGCTTTCCCAGAAATGACTTGTTCAAACCCGACACCAAATTCCGTTCATAATTCCTCAGTCTCCCAGTCGCTCCTTTCCTCATCAGCTTCCTCTCTTTATTAATTGTGCCGGACGAGAAGGAGGTTGCTGGGGTTTGGTCCGGGCTGCCTGATGGGTGGCCAGCAGGAGGCTTGTCTTCCTCAAGTTTGATGCCTGCATTTGTTAATATGTGTAGGGGAGGTATCTTACTTCTTTTTATCGTGGCCCATAATTAAATGGAAATTCAAACCTAATCAAACCTGGAAGCTTCACTTTAGAAACTTCATATGAAGCTTGAGAGGGAGATGGCAAACTGATAGTGAACTAATGGTGATTTGTTTCACGGACTATATAATAAGCAGTGAATATACTAAGTATCTTTTAAGGTGTTCTCCCAAATTAGTGAGTTGAAGTGAGCTTTGGAATGACTCAATGAAAGCTTTAAATAAAGGGAACTTGTTACGGAGGACTTCCTGAGAAAAGAGGTAGCAAAGAGTTAATGCAGGCAGAGGGCAGACAATAAGAGCTATGAGTAACCAATGTGTGAGCCACCTCCTCCCTGGGTTTCTTTGGACACTGGCAGAGAATG